CCTTCTGAGGAGTGGCTGGTGGGTTTGAACCGCCAGCCGTCTGATTAGCAGGCAAGTGTCTTAGCCACTATGCTACCAGAGCTCCTAGCTCAGTTCCTAGTAGGTAGTTATTGCCTACATATCTTCATGTGGTGCTGGAAGTTCTGGTGTTTTAACTGAGTGTCATGCGGTTCTGTGGTGGAGAGGAGGCGTTGGTCAGCCACCTGGTGTGGTGGGGAGAGAGCAGGCCTACTGGAGAAAGTGGGGGTTCACACCACGTTATGCTCAATGCCAAGGGCTTTCCCAGGCCCTTCTTGGGCATTTGCTTGCTTTGGTTTGGGTAGTGCACAGGCTGCCTGTAGGCTTTCACACAGAGTGAGTGCTTTAAAGATCCAGGAGTGGGTGCTGGCGTTAGGTCCCTGTGTCAGACGAAACCACTGCAGTGTGCAGCGTGGCGTGGCGTTAGAAGGTCGCGCCTGGTGGGCTGCACACAGGTTGCGCATCCAGGGTTCCTTGCTCTGCAGCCCCTTGAAGTGCGGCCCCCACAGCCACCACGTGTATCCTGTCAGGCACAAGCCAGGCCTGGCGTCCTGCTGCAGCGGTGCACAGCCCAGGCTGCAGGGACCTCGGCCGCAAGATGTCCTCTGTGTGGTGCTCTCAGAACCACATCCTTCCTCAGGTGGACACTGAGCGTGCGGCTGGGGGACTGGAGGTCCTCGAAGGCAGGCTCCTGGCACGTTCTCACCTGGGGTCCCTGGGACACAGCGGGTACTCAGCAGGCATCTGAGGGAACATGGTCAGCTGGCCAGCTGGGAGCCAGGGCCCTGAGGGCTCTGCATGGGCCATGGAGTTAGGAAGGGAGCGTTCATCGCCTTCCTGCCCCATCGTCCACTGTCCTCCCCTGAGCAAGGACACCAGGCTGTACGCTGTTGCCGAAAGTTTCTCCCCTCTGTGGTCATCCGTGTAGCGTGGCCTCTTGTGGTCACGTCTCCCTCAGTAGTCACCCGTGTCATGTGGCCACTTGTGGTCATGACTCCCCCACTAGTCATCTGTGTAGCATGGCCTATTGTCGTGACCCACCCTTTGGTCACCCGTGTAGTGTGTCCCATTGTTGTCATGACATATGCCATTGTCCTGACCCCCACTGGTCACCTGTATAGCATGGCCTGTTGTCGTGACCCACCCTCTGGTCACCCGTGTAGCGTGTCCCATTGTTGTCATGACCCCCCTCTGGTCACCCATGTAGTGTGGCCTGTTGTCATGAGCACCCCATCACCCGTGTAGTGTGACCTGTTGTCATGACCCCCCCCCCCCGGTCACCCATGCAACCTGTTCCATTGTTGTCATGATGCCCCTCTGGTCACCCGTGCAGTGTGCTCCGTTGTTGCCATGACTCCCCCGTCACCTGTATAGTGTGGCCTATTATGACCCCTCTCTGGTCACCCGTGTAGCACGTCCTGTTGTTGTCATGACCCCCCCGTCACCCATGTAGTGTGGCCTGTTGTCATGACCCCTCTCTGGTCACCAAGCCGCATGTCCCGTTGTTGTCATGATGCCCCTCGGGTCACCCGTGTAGCGTGGCCTGTTGACATCATGACCCCCCTCTGGTCACCCGTGTAGTGCGTCCCGTTGTTGTCATGACCCCCCCGTCACCCGTGTAGTGTGGCCTGTTGTCGTGGACATGGAGGTCTCTGTCCTTGTGTTCTTTCAGTTTGGAGGTGAAGCAGCTGCTCCAGACGAAGGCTGACCTGGAGAGGGAACTGGAGCAGGTGAAGGGGAGTGAGAAGGAGGGGCGAGAGAGAGAGGAGGCGCTGAGGTGAGTGGGCTGGAGAGTGGAGGTGGGGCTCGGCATCCCACCCCCGCCCTGCGTCTGAAGGCTGCTGGCCACGGTGGGCCCAGAACCTCCCCAGCGGCGTTCCGGCCCCTTCCTGACCTCCTTCACACGTGTAAGAAGCCAGTCTCTGGGTGGGGCTCTGCCCCGGAGGCCGTGGCCCACACACCTCCTCCTTATGGTCAACTGCCCACATGACGTGCCATCTCGGACTCCCGTCCCTCTCTGCTCACCTCGGTCAGGACTCGACGTCAGACACGTCCCCGGACGCCATCCCTCGTTCACCATCACTGACACATGGGCCCGTCCCTCTCTGCTCACCTCGGTCAGGACTCGGGTGTCAGACATGTCTCCATACAACATCCCTCATATGTGACTGTCACTGACACGTGGGCTCATCCTGTGTGGTTGACCCATTCAGTGGAATGCTACTCAGTTATGAAGAAGGACGGGGTCCTGATCCAGGGATGAGTCTTGAGAACATGCCGAGTGGACGAAGCCAGACGCCAAAGACACACAGTCTAATCCCATTTATATGACGTGTCTGACCGGAAACGGAGATCAGAATGAGGCTGGGTTGTGGGAGCAGCGGTCTCCAGGCAGGGCAGGGAGCTGGGGGAGGATCAGCTGTCTCTAGGGGGCAGGGCTGGGGGGATAAGCGGTCTCTGGGGGCGGGGCAGGGGAGAGGTCAGTTGTCTCCATGGGGTGATGAGCTGGGAGAGATCAGTGGTCTCTGGGAAGGGGTTGGGGGGAATCAGCGATCTCCAGGGAGAGGGCTAGGGGGAATCGGGTTTCTAAGGGGCGGGACTTGGGGGGATCGGCGGTCTCTGGGGGTGGGGCTGGGTGTTGGGAGCGGGGGTCTCCAGGTAGGGCGGGGCTGGGGCACTGCTGATAGGCTGATGAACTTGCTCTGGAGTTAATGGTGATGTTACGTAACACTGCTAATGAGCTGGAAACTACTGAACCGAACGCTCGCGAAGATCGCGGGAAGTGATCTAATCTCATGATAAATGGATGGCTAGATTAGAAGTCTGAACAGAGCTGTCCAGCACCAAGCACAGCGAGATGCCTGGGATGAGTCGGAGTGTGGTTTTCTAGAGAAATGCGAGGTGGCTTAGTCGGGAGGCTGGGCCCTGCAAACCAGCAGGGGCGGGCCAGCAGGTGAACGATTCTGCCTCACCTGGGTGTCTGCGACGAGGCGTGCACTGAAGTTATTCCAGCTGCGTAGCTTTTAGGAACTCACGTGGGCCCTCCCAGTTCATTACTCATGCCATTAAGGGGCCTAGTGGCCCACGTGGTTTGCGGTCAGTGGCTGACCTGAAGATTGATGGTTCGAGCCCAGTCAGTGGTTCTGCAGAGAAAAGAGCTGGCAAGCTGCTTCTGTGAAGGTTATAGCCAGGAACACCCTGTGGGGCAAAGCCGGGGGCAGTCCTCCGTTGGCCACGGGGCCGCCTACATGGGCACCAGCTCCAGGCCCGACGGGAGGGCAACACCGCTCCCTGTCGGTCCGTGGTGCGCATAAGTCCGGCTGCGAGGGCTTTGCTGGGCTCCTCCATCCCTGTGTGGGGTCCATCTGGGAGGCAGGCAGTGGGGGCAGGCTTGCTCTGGGGCTCTCAGGCTCTGTCCCCCAGCCTGGTGAGGGTCCCAGGCAGGGTGGTTGTGGCAGTGCTGGTCTGTGCCCATGGGGACAGCCTCGTCCCTGCCGTGTAGCACCTCGCACCAGCTGCACGCAGGTCCTGCAGCATGATGGCAAATTGGCGGTTGTCTTTTCCCTCCTTTCAGGGAGCAAGTTGAAACTCTGACCAGGAAGCTCCGGGAGCTGCACGAAAGGCAGAGGGACAAGGAGGAGGCCCTCGTGGGAATGGCGCAGGAGGTGCGTGCCGCTTCCTCAGCCCTGGGTCGCACGGGAGGGGGCCCGGCTGCACCCAGGAAGGGGCCGTCTGGCTCCTCAGCCACATGCTGGCTGTCGTGTGCCCTGTGATAATCACTGTTCACTCTAAGTTACATTGTGGGGCTGACCTCGGGTCGCTGACTGTTGGTGTGTGGGCGTCTTGAACTGCTCTGCCAGTAGTACCGTGCGCTGCCTGGGGCCGTGTGCTGGAGGGGAGAAGGAAGCAGGAGCCCCCAGCAGCCCCTTCCTGGCCTGCGTGCCACGCGCTCCCTCAACACGAGGCTCAGCGTGCAGGCTGCCCGAGAAAGGCCACGGGGCAGCCTTCCCACTGCCCGGCCTGCTTTGCCATTGGTAGGTGGTGAAGGTCAGGGGACAGGGCCTCCAGGCAGGCAGGCCCTCCTTCTCCCTTCACACCCCCCAAAGCAGCTAGGACGGTGGCCTCGGGGCTTTGAGGGGACGACTGAGGTGTCCCTCTGGTCTGTTGGCTCAGCGCTGGGCACGCCGTGAGTCCGGGTGAGAAAGCCCCACTTGCGCATCCCTTTCTCCGGCGAGGGGCTTCTCCGGGGCTGTGTCTGCACACACACAGTTGGCACAGTTGGAGCATCTGCTAGGTGTTAGAACAGGACACCGATGGCTTGGCATGGACCCCACAGTCACAGCACCTGTGGGGTAAACGTGAGCCAACAGCAGAGCTGGTCTGGGCCGTGTCCCATGAGCATGTCACAGACATGGGTGGGCACGCCTCAGACACGGGTGGCAGTGGTGTCTTTGTGTTTGCATGGCATCCCTCTCTCTGTGACCCTCGTCGTCACTGAAGTGTGGAGGGCCACCTGGGCCCTCAGCATCCAGGGCCCGCGCAGTGCGTGTTAGCACAAGCCCACAGCACTTCGGGAGTGACCTCCTGCCTCAGAAGGGGGGCTTGTTCCCGGGGCTCAGTCACGGCTCGAGCTGAGGAGTCGGGTTTGCAACTAAGCAGCTGCTCTCTCCAAGGCCAGCTCGTGTAGCCGGATACTTCGTTCTGCGGCCTCTAGCCGCCATGAGACCACATGAACCTCAGGTTGGCGAGTGGAGCCGAGCTCAGGGTTTGGACAAGCACCTGTTGAGTTAGATAGAGCCAGGCCAGGTGCTACCAGGGGCTCCCCGGCACGCGCTGGCGGGACCTCCCATGCAGGTTGTCGACCCTGTGGCAGACGGGAGCCGGGGTGTGGACGCCTCTTGTGCGGTGGGCTGCTGGGACTGACATCCCTGTGGGCCACTCTGGATCTTCTGAGGGAGGCTGAGTCACCGTTGACAGGGAGGGAGTGGCCGTCGTCCTGTGAGGGCCACTCGGCATGAGACCCTGGGTCCCCGCGCACCTGCCCTCCTGTGGCCTGGCTTCCGTGGGTCCCGTGGAGTAGGCGTGTCCACGTGACAACGGTTCTCCTGTCTCTCCTTTGGGCCTCAGATGTTCTTAGGAGGTCTGTGAGGGGACCGCTCACAGGGACCACGGAGGTGGCAGCCCGGGCTCCCTGCACATGAGCTCTGCCCCCGACACAGCACAAGGGGCCCTGCTCATCCGCAGACCTTGCTCGCGGAGTCGCAGCTTCCTCGGGCCGGTGCTTGTCCTGGAGCAGCAGGGCTGGCACGCGCATTGCCCGGGCCTTAGGGACGGCCTGTCGCTTTGCCTCAGGTGGTGGTGGTGGTGGTGGTGGTCGTTGGGTCACTTCCAACTGGTAGCAACACCGTGTCCACAGAAGGACCCCTGCCCAGTCCTGAGCCCTCCTCACAGTCATCGCTGCTTGAGTGCGTTGTTGAGGTCACGGGGTCCGTCCGTCTCTAGGGGGCCTTCCTCTTTTTCTCTGACCCTCTATTTGATGAAGCGGGATGGCCTCCTCCAGGGACCGGCCCCTCCTGACAGTGCGACCAAGTACCTGAGACCGAGTCTCACCATTCTCCCTTCTAAGGAGCATCCCGGCTGCACTTGGTCCAGGCCAAGATTGCTTGGGTCGTCTGGCATCCTGGGAGGGTCAGCATTCTCTGCCAGCACCGCAGTTCAGAGGCATCAGTTCTCTGGTTTCCTTGTTCATTGTCCAGCTTTGCACGTGTAAGGAGCAACTGAAACATACACCATGGTTGGCTCAGGCACACCTTAGTCCTCAAAAGTGAGATCTGTCTTTAACTCTTTAAAGAGGTCTTTGTGGCAGATTTGCACACAGTGTTGCAGCACGATGTCTGATTTCTTGGGTGCCGCTTCCATGGCATCAGGTTGTCTGCAGACCCTCAAAATAAGAGAAGCACGGCCCATTGTGTTGTCAGCGTGTTGATTGGAGACAGGCAAGATCACCCACCATCCACGTTTTCCTTGTGCACCATCGGCTCGGGTCCGGGCAGGGCATGGCCCTGTGTGCACCTCCTCTCCCATGTGGGCCTTGACACACTGGCCATTCTAGCAGAGTCTGGGGTGTTGCTGCCTGTCACCCACTGCCCATCCGGGAAGGGTCTGAGCGATGCCACCTATCACCAGCCGCCCATCCAGGAAGGGTCTGGGTGATGCCACCTGTCACCCACCACCCATCCTAGAAGGATCTGGGGCGATGCTTTGTCATCTGTCACCCATCCCAGAAGGATCTGGGTGATGCCATCTGTCAACCACCACCCGTCAGAGAAGGGTCTAGGGTAATGCCGTCTGTCACTTCTACCCATCTGAGGAGGGTCTAGGTGATGCCGTCTGCCAGCCTGTCTTCGAGCCCCTCGCTGTGGGGTTTGCACCTTCTCTGTGCTGATGTCTGTCGTCTGGGGTTTAACCCCCACTCGGCCCACCTGTCACGGAGTCACCACGTCTGTGGGGGCCCCACGGCTCTTCCTTCTTCCCTCAGCATCTGCTCCGAGGCTCTCCACTGCGGGGGCAGGTGGCCTGGTGCGGAAACTGCTGGTGTTTTGTGTTTTGCCGTCTTCCTCTCTGACCTCGAGGCTCTGTCTTCCTGTGAGGGGCAGGACGCCTCCTCCCGGGAGGAAGGAGTGCGGCTCTCCGGCGCCCTGTCTGCGCCGCCTACAGGCGCACGCGTGTCCTGGCAGTGACGTGATGGTGCTCTGCAGACAGGGCGCTGCTGTCAGCCACGGGACCCTTTGCTTTTTCTCCTCGCTCTCTCCTCTGCATTTATTTGCTGGCTGTGGGGTTAAAGCGCGCAGCAGGGGGGCGCTGTGGGACCTTGCTGGGGCTCTGAGCCGCCCTTGGGAAGCGAGGCTGTGATGCTGTCGGCTGTCGGGTTGGCTGGGACTTGGGGGAGCCTGCACCCAGTGGAACACGGCACTGCCCGGTCCTGCCCGGCTTCACGATGGTCTTTGTGCACCAGGCCCTGCTGCAGCCCTGACAATCCCGAGTGCCCTCCCTGCTGGGGGACTCGGGGTCGTCCTCCGGCCCCAGGTCGGACCCCGTCCTGCTGTGGCCCATGGGGCTACCATTCTCAGACGTCTGTGGCCAGCCCTTCCTGCTAGACTGTCTTCATCTGGAAGCTCCGCCGAAACCTGTGCCCCGTGGTTGTCCCTGCTGGTCTTTGAAATACCAGTGGCAGTAGCGTCCAGCATTACAGCCACACGCAAGCCACCACAGTGCCACAGAGGACAGCAGGGTGGCGGGAGGACGAGAACAGCACCGTGAAAACAGCAGGTTCTCCCCGAAGCCTGTGCGTCTGACTTGGGGACCTGGGTTTCCCCCTCTTCATGGCAAGAGTGGGGCCACACTTATAGAGATGCACCCCAAGAAAGTAATAGCTTCTTAGCAGGGATGGGCAGCGACACACAGGAGCCGTACCCACACACGGGACAGCCACACATGCTGGGGATGGCCACACGTGGGAGCCTTAGCCACACACGGTGTGGACAGCCACACACAGGAGCCACATGGTGGGGTGCTGGTCCTGGAATAGTACCCAGCCATGGTCAAGGATAGTGGGGTCTGTGTTGCTGATGGGGACAGGTGGCTGGGGCCTGTTGTGTGCAGGAAACAAACAGCCCCCGTCCCTGAGGTGAGCAGCGGCAGGGCCCATTTTATTTAAGAAAAGCTGTACGTAGGGAAAGGCTGCCGGGGCGGCCATGTGCGCTGTGCCTTCTTCCGTGTGCCTTCTAGGGCCCTCTGACTTTCTGTAAGAAGCGCAGGTCAGCGTCGGGTTTCTTCTGCTTAGAAAGCTTGCTCACTTTGAAGTGAGGGAAGAGTGGGGTTGACGGGGCAGGGGGCGTCACTGCTCTGCTGGACAGGGCCCTTCAGGGAAGCGCTGTGGCTCGGGATTTTCACAGGAAGGAAGGTTGGCCCACCTGCTTCCGTAGTGATACCAGCTCGGAGCCCAAGGAGGGGTCGCGATGAGTCGGGGCCTGCTTGACGGCGCACGACAGCTCAAGGAATTGGTAGGCACATCAGGGCAGGCTGCTCCCGCGGGCCGCCCAGCCTTGTGGGGCGAGCGTGCCTTCATCTACTAGGGATCCAGTTGTACCTTTTTGACCAACTTGGCTGGGGCCACACATGGCAGACTGTCACTCTGGGGGAGCCGAAGTCTGGAGGTGTGTGAGGCCTGAAGGAGGCAGTGTCTCAGTCACCTGGAGCTGCTGTGACAAACAGCACCAAAGGGTGCCTTTCGCAGGCAGAGTTGACGAGACTGGAAGGAGGCTTCTCGCACTTGGCTCTGGGGCACGGTCTTGTCTCCCTGCAGTGTCTGTGGGCCGGGCTCCCTGATCTTCCCCCGGGTCAAGGAGGCTCCCAGTACAGGGACCCCGGGTCCAGAGGACACTGCTCTCGGCCCTTCTTTCTTGATGCTACTGAGGCCCCTTGAGCTCTGCTTTCTAGTGTGATCTCTTACAGCTCCGAGGCGCAGACCTAACCCTGTAGGTTGTATCCTGCCTCATGAGCGTGGCTCTCTAACCCTGTGGGTGAGCACAGCGGTCGGACCTTTACAGCACATCACAGTGGAGGGTAGTTACGCAGGTGACATCACGGGGGGTGATGACGTCATGACGCGACTGCCAAACCATTGAGAAGCACAGCCCAGCCAAGCTGAGCATGTTTCTGGGGCCACAGTTCAGGCCACGGCAGCCGGCCAGGCCCTCACTGGGGTAACAGTGGGACCGTCGAGGCGGTGAAGGGAGTCTTGGCCAAAAGCAGTGGTGAGCCCCCTGAAGCGAGCCGATGGCAGCTCACCTGTCAGCCAGCGAGCACCCCGTGTCCGTCACGGGGGAGGGCGTCACAGCTGCTCCGGTCTCCCACCTTGAGAGGCCTTGCTCCAGCATTGTGGGTGGGTCTCCATGGAACACGTTTAGAATGTGAGAAAAAATGACCTCATGTTCTTAGTTTCATTGTCCTCGAAGATGGTGAATGAGGGTCCGTGAATGACAGCCGTCGGCCTCTGTCAAACAGTCACACCCGCTGTTGTGTTTGATCGCACAGATCCCATTTTTGTATGATAGCATTAAACTAAGAGACCCTAGAAGTCCAACAGTCTGTCAGTAGTGGGGATGTTACTGATTTTAGAAGATGTTTTGCAGCCGTGTGGACGGCTACTCTTTAACGTCACGGGGGCTGTGTCCCCACTTCCGCCTGGGGGGCTACTGCAAGATGGAGTTCAGGGTGTTAGTGAGAAGCCTATTGGAGTCTGTCTGCCCGTGTGCTGTGTCCATGACCGTCTCTGTCAGCGGCGGCTAAGACACAAGGCACTTGCCCTGGGATTCAAAGCCCGTTGGGCCCAGCTGGTCTCTGCTGAGCGGTGTCTGGCCGTCCTGCCTCACTCACCACCCCTGTGCTCCCGCAGCCCCAGGAGGACCTACAGCTGCCTGTTCCCTCCAGCAGCTGCTCCCCAGAGGCCTCCGAGGCAGACTGCAGTGCAGCAAGCTCACGGCCCCCCTCGGCCCACTCAGCGGGGAGCGGAGAAGAGGGGCAGCGGGACACAGCGGCCAGGGTCCTGCAGGCCCAGTGGAGGGCACGCCAGCACAAGGTGAGGGCCGGGAGACCCCACGTCTGCTTGCGTGACCGCCAGGGGCCAGCTCACACTGAGAGCCCACCGTCTGGGAGCCAGAACCACCCAGCACCGGCATCACTGAGCTCCTCTGACGTGACAGCCCCGGCTCAGGGGCCATGGGGGCGGGGAGGGCAGAGTGGACACAGTGCCACGTGGTCAGAGCCAAGAGAGAGCGAGAGTGGGAGCAACCCCTGGGGCCACGGTGCAGGGAACACCTGGTCCAGCTGGGCAGGGAGTGGGTGTTGGGGACGGTCACCCCTGAGCTGGCCCCTGAAGGAGGCAGAGGGCTCCACAGCCGGGTGGACAGTGGGCAGTGGCCTGCTTCCCAAGAGCCGAGCTGTCCGTCAGCTCTCCTGCACCAGCCAGCGCCCAGCGTGGGGGTGGCCGCAGAGGGGAGGCTGTCTGGGCTCAGGGAGACTAGGGTTTTGAGACAAGGGTACCAGCAGCCAGCGGCTCACCCCCAATCGCACTGGGTCACCCCAACCACTGTGAGTCACCCCTGACCACCGTGGGTCACCAACCCCTCTGTTGGCATCCAGACATCGACCAGAGAGGTGAAGGGCACGCAGTGGTCAGCCTGAGACTAAGAGCGGCGGTGAGGATCTGCAGTCCTCCATGGCCCCCTTTCTGGGGCTCCCTGGGAGGGGCAGCTCCAGGCCACAGTCTGTTGTGCAAGGTGTGAAGCACAGGAAAGCCTCGAGTTTGTAGATTGGCTGGCCCAGGAGAGGCAGGGCCTTCTGGTACTGTTGTCCACCTGGGTCCCATCTTCTCAGGTTCACAGCAGGCGACTGGGTGACACTGGAGGAAGGCTGTGCACATCTCTGCAGATTCTTAAGGCCGCCACGGTGACATGCCACCACACAGCTCAAACTGCAGGTCCGCACAAGCCGTCCTCCCTAGTGGCACCCTCCAACCCCACCAGTAGCTGATGTCCCATCCGCGGTGTTCAGAGACTGTGTCTGTGACAGCGTGTTCATCTGGCTGTCCTGTCTTTCTCCAGCTGGGCACTGTTCCCATCCTGTCTGCCCCGTTTCTCTCGGGCCGAGCACCGTCCCATCCTGTCTGTGCCGTCTTTGTGGGACCCTGCACCATTCCCCTCTGCGGTGTCGCTCTTCCCGTGCTGTCATTCCCCAGCAGTTTCCTTGCCAGTCTCTGTCCTCATCTGCTGTCTGATGCCATCTTGGCCACAGTCCTTAGCGCTGCCTCTGGCAGTGAGCATGCTTCCACCCCCTGCCGGACGTGGTGCTCCATCCCCTCTCTGTCACGGCCATGGTGCTCCGTCCCCTCTGTCACGGCCATGGTGCTCCCTCTCTGTCACGGCCATGGCGCTCCGTCCCCTCTGTCACGGCCATGGCGCTCCGTCCCCTCTGTCACGGCCATGGTGCTCTGTCCTCTCTGTCACGGCCATGGTGTTCCATCCCCTCTCTGTCACGGCCATGGTGCTCCGTCCCCTCTCTGTTGTGCAACAGGCCTTTGCTCTGAAACTCTCGGGCTTCCGCTCAGCCACGCCATAGCCAGCCAGCTGATGTGCGTGTCGTCCAGTGCAGCCAGTAGCCACTTGATGCACCTGGTGGACTTCAGGTTCCCATGGGGACTTGGTTTCCATCTGCTCTTAGAAATACATATTTCCGGGGCCCACCTGGTGCCTCTGAGCCAGCCTGTCGGGGCAGCCGGAGAGAGTTTTTTTAAGTCCCGGGTGTTTTGTTTTTTTTTAAACCTCGGTGAGCATGTACCTGTTTGCCAGTCTCTACCTGTTTGACTCAGTGCCGTTGGTTACGCTTGCCACACCCGTCTCCACTCTCGCATCTCTGCCCGTACTTCCCCACCTCCAGGCCTGCTGTCCCACGTCTCACCTGTACTGTGGAGTTACTGGGATGGCTCAATCTTGGAGAAATTCTTCAAGAGCGTGAAGTGCCTGTGGGAGTATTCTTTCCTGTTGAGCTAAGCAGTTGTTTACTTTAAACGGATCGTTTCAGTTCCTGGCATGGCGGCCTCTCAGAGGACGGATTCAGATTGCTCCAGTCTCAGTAGGTCCAGTAGGTCTGGATGCCGAGAGAGTTTTAAATTCTGTTCCACATTCCCCCTTTTGGATCAGGATGCTCCTGTGGCGTCTTTGATTGGCACGTTCAGTCGTGGTGGCTGAGCACTATTCAGTTCTCTGGTCTTAGGGCAAAGGGGGCAGTAGTTCAGGAGGTGACTGGCCCTGCAGTCCAGCTCCTCCTCTGACTCTGGTCTTGGAGTGGCTTTGGCAGTCAGTCAGCCTGGGAGCCGGTGACCGCTGACCCCAGATGGGCATCCCCTGTGGCCTCACCCAGGTGTCCAGCCACCCTGCACCTCAGTCAGAGGGCGGGCACTCAGGTCAGGCCAGTGCTTGTCTTTAGAAGCTCCTGTGTTGGCCTGCGCCAGCCTCGTGGCACCTGTGGTCCTGACTGCCCAGAGCCGTGGAGCCCTGGGACAGCCAGTCGAGACCAGCTGGCCACCCCAGCGCCCTGCACCGTTGGCTTACAGCTCCAGAGTTTGGTTCCCTGGGCACTGTCAGCAAGGCAGGGCTGAGCCAGGACCTGCAGGGTGTCTTGGGGTGTGGCCCTCGGGCACCATGGGGGGCCAGTTGTTGCCACCCTTCATGCTTATGGTGTTTTTCCTGCACTTGGTGTTGTGTCGCGGTGTAAGACCTAGAAATGAAGACGGTGCTGTGGCAAACGCATCCTTCTCACGCTAATTCATGCTGTTTCTTTTTTTCAGAAAAAGGAGGCTGCTCTGGATGAGGTAAGCGGTCTCAGAGTGACGCGGTGGAGGGCGCTCCCCTGGAGCAAAGTAGCCGATTGCTGGACGCAGGAGCTCAGACCAGAGCCCCCCTGGGAGTTTAAGCGCATAAGTCGTATAGCACCAAATAAATATTTGGGTGATGTCAGACTTTCAAAATTCAGTCATTCATTCCTTCTGTCAGCTCTTGTCCTGATCATCAGCTTGGTGCTGAGTGGCGTGACAGCCCCTGGACAGAGGGAGACATTAAGACAGGCAGGGTGACAAGTCACTGTGATTTGGGGGCTGAGCTCAGAGCTGCGCCCATGGCATTGTGAGGGCTGCCAGTCGCCAATGCCAGGGACATCTGCAAAGGGGGCAGCTGTGAGCGGGGCTTCACGGGGTGAGTAGGAGCTCACTGGACAAGATGCATTGAGACGGGCCTTGAGAGTGAGGGTGGGCCTGGTAAAGGGCTGACGGGGGAGTGGGGTGGAAGCGTGCGTGAGAGCAGGGCCTGGTATTTTCCTGAAGGTGGAGAGTGAGCGGAACTTAGCGGTGTGTGGGGGGGGTGTCACCGGTGTTTGTGAGGAGAGACAGAAGCAACTCTGGGCTTTGCTGACAAGTCTGGGGGCCTCAGCATTTCCCCCTTTTCTTGGCATTCCTTCTTGGCAGCAGTTAGAGTCCCCAGTCACAGGGGTGTACGGGCCCCCAGTTTCCATTAGTACCACGAAGGGGAGGCAACAGCCTCCCAACTATCGATGTGGGCATGGGTTCCACGCCCTCCAGGAGGGAGCCAAGAGCCCCTTCTGCCCTTCCCAGTGAGACTCGAGGGTCTGGGGCCCAGGGAGCACCTCGGTGACGCTGACGTGTGAACGCGCTGAGAGGATGCGGCCCGAGTGGCCGCCTCGGTGACGCTGGCGCGTAGACGCGCTGAGAGGACGCGGCCTGAGTGGCCAGATTTGAACTTCCTGCTGCAGTTGTTGTCCTTCAGCCTTTACTGTCCCTTTAAGCCCTGGGCTCAGGTGCTTCTCTCAGAGCCGCTGGGCTCCAGGGGGCGTGTCTGAGACCACGCCTCCACCAGGCCCACTCACTGGGGCCTCTGTCCTGCACTGACCCCTCCTCCAGGCCCATTCCTGCCCCAGGGCCTTGGTGCGTGCTGTCCCTACTGCAAGGCTCTCTGTCCAGGTATTTGCTTGTTTTCCCTCCGCTCACCTCCTCAGAGAGCCCTCCCAGACACCCTGACCCTCACCCCCTGGCCCTGCCCTGCTTTGCCAGTCTTTGTAGTGTGTCCCCCGCCTGGCATCTCGCTGCCCTGTTTATGCGTTGCCTCTCCATTGGGTGAGTCCTGTGGAGGCAGGCCACCTGGCTCTCGTGCTGCTGTCCTGAGTGCTGGCATCATGCCGTCCTGTAGTGACACTGAGTACATAGCGTGTGACGAGTGGGTGCATTGCCTCCCACAGGATGAGGTCACATGCTTAGGAGGCAGACAGCCACACATGTTCTCTGTCACGTTCCCCCTTCTGTTCCATGTCCACTTCTGAACCCGTTGCCTGCTTGTCTGTGAAGTCGAGGTGGTAACAAGATCTGCTTGGCCACGTGAGGGTCCAGGGTGACAGTGTGCTAAGCGTGTGCCCCAGGGCCGTTCTGTGAGATTCCCTCACAGCGGTGGAACAGACACGGCATCCACGGCCTGGGCCCGGTCCCCGCCTCCACACAGCCTCCTCGTGGGGCACGTGATGCCGGGTTGTGACTTGGTTTCCTTTGTTAGCATTGACCCTCTTGGGGTGGTTGTAAGGTGTGAAGAACAGCGATTCAGGTCTGCCACAGCGTCTGGCTTACACGCGGCACTCGGGAAATGCTGCCAAGCGTCCCTGCTCCGAGCCGCTGCAGTAACTCATGGCCCTCCAAGGAGCACCGGTGACGCCAATGTTAAATGCTCGGCTGCTCATTGGAAGGTGGGTGGTTCGAACCCCCCCCAGCGGCTCCGTGGCAGGAAGGACCTGGCAGTGTGCTCCGTCAGGTGGGCAGTCTGGGAAACCCCATAACACCACGGGGCAGTTCTACTCTGTCGCGTGGAATCCCAGTGAGTCGGTGTCCACCCGATCGAACCAGTGACGGGAATATAGAGTGAATTATTCCACGCGGGAGACGTGGGCTGGCGTTGGCAGCCGAGTGTACCTGTGCTGGACAGAGTCCGCCTGTTTGGCTGCAGGATCAGGGTGTGTTGCTCGCCAAGCATGGCCCCTCATCGCTGAGACTATGGGTGGGAGAGAGGCTCGCAGAGCATGGGCCGGGACTGCGCAGCGAGGGGAGCCGTTCTTCACTGTCAACAGTATTTCCTCTGCAAATGTCTCTGGTCAGAACCTGCCATCTCCCAGGGAACTTCACCTCTGCCTCCTCTCCCCTCCAGGAGGCCACAGTGCTGCAGGCGGCTTTCCGGGGACACCGTGCTCGGGCGCAGCTCCTGGCCAGCAGAGCCTGTGGTTCCCCATCTCCCAGCACGCCGAGCCCCCCTCGGAAGGTAACGTCAGGGTGCAGGCTCAGACCTGGTGGGCCCCCACTTCTCCTTTCCTCACGCTTCACCAGCTGGGAGCACGAGCCATTGTCCACTCTTGGTATCTGCCTGCCAGAGAGGTGTGCCTCGCACACCAGCCCTTCACACACCACTGCTCCCTATGCTGCTCCTCCCCACGACACCCCTTCACACACCATCCCCCACATGCCACCCCTTCACTCGACGCCACTCCCTACTCCACCCATTCACACACCAACCCTTCACACACTGCCCCCCACATGCCACCCCATCACACGCTGCCTCCCACATGCCACCCCTTCACTCGCCACCACTCCCTGCTCCACCCATTCACACGCCACCCCATCACACACCGCCCCCCACATGCCACCCCTTCACTCGCCACCACTCCCTACTCCACCCATTCACATGCCACCCTTTCACACACCACCCCCCACACGCTACCCCTTCACATGCCGCCACTCCCTACTCCACCCATTCACATGCCTCCCCATACACGCCACCCATGCCACACCTTCACACACCGCCCCCCTCACGCCACCCCACTCACCTGCCTCCCTCACACCACTGCCCCCCAGGCCATCGTACACACATGCTGTCTTCTTCACATGCTGCCCCATACATGTCACTTCCACCCCTCCCACCCCGTCGTCCTCTCACACGGCCCCCTCACCTCACCTCCGTACGTGCCAGCCCCCCCAGCACGGTCACGTGAAGGCAGTTCTGCCCCTGGATCAGGCCCACAGTCAATGTAGCTTCAGGGGCGAGACAGCTCTGAGGACCAGAGACAAGGTAGCACGTCCGTCTTGTGAAGGGAGACCGTAAACACCAACCCGCTGCCATCGGGCTGACTGACTCGTGGGGGCCCCTGAGCTGCAGATACAGCTGCTGCATGGGGCCTTCCGGGGCCGGAATCATGATGGAGGAGAGGGCAAGGCCTTTCTTCCGTGGAGACTGGGGAGGTTTGAACCGCCAGCCTTCACGTTTCAGCTGGTTGTGGACTGCTTGTATCACCCAGAAGCCGCTCAGTTAAGATAGACGCTTAAAAAAATAACAAAGATGTCAACCCACCACAGCAGCCTGTCTCCTAGCTTCCCCGTCGAGAACACAAGACGTGCGTCAGAACTAGAGTTTAGAGGCTGCCTCAGGCGGGTGCCGACTGCGTGGTCAGGAGTGTCAGAGGGCCCTCTGGAGACGCTCTGTGACATGCAGGGGGCCAGCGGGCTGAGAGCCGCCTCATTCCCACTGTCGTTGCAGTGCCCTGCCACACCCCGCAGCCAGAGCCCCACTGCCCCTGACGGCACGGGGCTGGAGGAGGCCATCCTGCTGGTCCAGTCGGTCTTCCGGGCGCACCTGGCACGGACCAGGCCAGGGTGAGTCGGGCGACGTCTACAGGATGCCCTTGGGCCTGCCTTCTGCATCAGGAAGCTAGCACCGTCCCTGGCCAGGGTACCTTAGCGAGTCTGTGGATCCCTGGTGCTGGGAGCAGGCCATTAGTCCCATGGTTGTGGAGAGGGCCCCGGTGCCGCCTTCTGGGAGGAGGTGTGTGTAGACCTGTTTCTTGAGACACATGGCTCAGGTCCCCACGTGGAGCTGGCTGGTTGCAGGGTCAGCACGTTGTCACTTTGTAAGAGAGGAGCGATGGGATCGTGTTTGGGGGATGTGGGTGTTCCCAGCCGCCTTCCTGCAGGCTCCACGCCTGCTGCCAGGACCCTCGAGTTTAAGTCGCCTGGGCCCACAGTGTCTCCCAGAACCTGAGAGTGGGGCTGCCATTGACCTGGGACTAGACCAGACCTGGGGCCGGTGCTCAGGAAACCCGTACTCCATCCCACAGCTCACCCACCCCGCTCTGTGTCCGCCCTTCTCTCTTGCCACTGTCCCCCAGTCTCCATGACGGTGAACAGTGTAACTGGTCTGCCACTTCTCCAAATCCTGTGGCTGAGTCCCCGTCACCCAAGACAGGCTCTGACACTGGGAGAGTCAGCTGTGGCTGGAGGGGACGCTGCCTTGTCACCGTGTCCAGTGGGGACGAGGCAGCTGGCCCTGAAAGGGGGCTCAGCCTAAGCCCTGCCCAGAGCCTCAGGGCCCCAAAAGACAGAGCAGGAGGGGAGGCGCCTTGGCCCTGCGCAGGCAGCCGGGGCTCCCCGAGGTGCTCTCGGGCTGAGGTCCCGCGATGCTGGGTCCTGGGCTCCGGGCTGCTCTCAGCACACGGGGAAGCCTGGTGGTGTGGTCTCTGCTGCCTGGTGCATCAGGAAAAGCACAAGGAGCTGGCTTTAACAGACACCTGCTCTCTGACCCTTGAGGAGGCAGAAGCCCGTGTTCAGGGTGCTGGGTCTAGGGACGCCCTTCCCCCGTCCTTTCTCTTCTGCTCCTGGGCTCTGTGGCCGTCTTGACATGGCCTTGCCTCCCAGCTCTGCCCTGCTTCCGTGCTTGCTCATACCGGTTATTTTATATCTCACAAGAGGTTACTCTGCAACATGCCCTACCTGACAGTGCCTCCTTAACCTCACAGAGACTCCTGTCCCCAGAGGGGATCACAGCCATGGGTGTAGGGTTGGGATTCACCACAGTGAGTCTGGTACACACGTAGGCCGCCACCTGTGGCCGTGTTCCTGAAGGTGGAGCAGAGTCCCCGGGGGCTTCTGTCTTTCAGTGCCATCAGTGAGAGGACGACCACCACAGCCCCTGCCAGGAGGACGTCTGCTTCCACGGCAAACAGGGACGCCTCCTCCCCGCCCGCCCTCGTGGCTTCTGGTACGTCCGTGCGCTTCGTCTGGGTGTGGGTGCAGCGGCCGCTGTGTGTTCAGTCGTGACCTGCAACCCTCAGGGAGCACGGGGCCAGCTGCGGAAGGAACACGGGGGCAGGGGGTTGGCCCTCCGGCAACTGTCTCCTCAAGCTGAGGACACGCCTGGACCAGCCCCTTCACCCTTGTTCCTGGGCCATGGTGGCCCCACGCTCTGTGGGTGCAGCGCCACCACCTGCCTTCTCCGCCCCCTGCCCCACGCAGCCTGTGCCATGCTTTCTTTCTTGGTTCCCTCGGGAGCGAGGCCCTTCCCTGAGGGCTGCGGCTGTAAGGTGCCGTTGAGTCGTCTCTGACTCGCAGTGACGCCGTGCACAGCAGAATGAGACACTGCACCGTCCTGTGCCGCTTCCCGATCCTTGCTAGACCTGAGCCCGTCGTTGCAGCCACTGTGCCAGTCCGTCTCATCGAGGGCCTTCCCCCTCTTCGCTGACCCTCCACTCTACCAAGCATGACATCCTTCTCCAGGGAATGGTTCCTTCTGACAACATGGCCAAAGTAGGTGAGACCAAAACTGGCCATTCTCGCTTCTAAGGAGCATTCCGGCTGCACTTCTTCCAGGACAGACTTGTTAGTCATTTTAGCAGACCGTGGTACTGTTGGCGTTCTCGTCCAGCATCACAACTCAAAAGCATCAACTCTTCTTCAGTCTTCCTTATTCATTGTCCAACCGTTACATACATAAGAGGTGACTGAAAATACCATGGCTTGGGTCAGGCGCACCTTAGTCCTCAAGGAGACAACCTTGCTCCTCAGCACTTGAAAGAGTCCTTTGCAGCTGGTTTGCCCAGTGCTGTACATCATCTGATGTCCTGACTGCTGCTTCTATTGGTGTTGATGGTAGAACCAAGTAATGAGAAATCCTTGACAACTTCAGTCTTTTCTCCATCTACCATGAAGCTGTTTACTGGACCAGTTGTGAGGATTTTTCTTTTCTTTATATTGAGGAGTAATCCATACCATACTGCAGACTGTAGTCTTTAATCTTCATCAGTAAGTGCTTCAAGTCATCCTCACTTTCAGCGAGCAAAGTTGAGTCATCTGCCTATCTCAGGTAATGAGTCTTCCTCCAACCCTGATGTCATGTTCTTCTTCATATAATCCAGCTTCTTGGATTATTTGCTCAGCATACAAGTTGAATAAGTATGGGGAAAGGATACAACCTTGACGTACTCCCTTCTTGATTTTGAACCATGCAGTGTCCCCTTGTCCTGTTGGAATGACAGCCTCCTGGTCTATGTACAGGTTCTTCATGAGTACAATCAAGTGTTCTGGAATTCCCATTCTTCTCAATGTTATCCATAATTTGTCATGATCCACATGATCAATTGCTTTTGCGTAGTCAACAGAACACAAGTGAACATCTTTAAGGTATTCTTTGCTTTTAGCTAAGATCTATCTGACATCAGCAGTGATATCCCTCATTCCACGTCCTCTTCTGAATCCAGCTTGCATTTCTGGAAGTTTTCTGTCGATAACACTACTGCAACCATTTTTTAATTATCTTCAGTAAGATTTTACTTGCATGTGATATTAATGATATTGTTCAATAATTTTCACATTCTGTAGAATCACCTTTCTTTGGAAAGGATACAAATATGGGTCTCTTCCAGTCAGTTGGCCAGCTAGCTGTCTTCCAAATCTCTTGGCATAACCGAGTGAGTGCCTCCAGTGGGACATCTGTTTGTTGAAAGAAACATAACAATGGGTATTCCGTCGATTCCTGGAGCCTTGTTTTTCACCAATTCCTGCAGTGCAATTTCGACTTCTTCCTTCAGTACCATTGGTTCTTGACCATATGCCACCTCCTGAAATGGATGATCATATATCAATTCTTTTTGGTACCTTGACTCTGTGTATTCCTTCCATCTTATTTTGATGCTTCCTGCATCATTCAGTATATTGCCCGTAGAATCTTTCAGTGTTGAACTCAAGGCTTAATTTTTTTCCTCAGTTCTTTCAGCTTGAGAAATGCTGAGCATGTTCTTCCCTTTTGGTTTTCTAACTCCAGGTCTTTGCATATTTCATTATAGTAACTGGCTTTGTCTGCTTGAGCTGCTCTTTGAAATTTGTTCAGCTCTTTTATCTTGTCATTTCTTCCATTTGCTTTAGCTACTCTCTGCTCAAGGGCAAGTTTCAGAGTCTCTTCTGACATCCATTTTGGTCTTCTCTTCTTTTCTTGTCTTTTTAATGACCTCTTGCTTTCTTCATGGATGATGTTCTTGATGTCATCCCACAATCTTCTGGTTTTCGGCCATTGGTGTTCAGTGCATCAAATCTATTCTTTAGATGGTCTCTAAATTCAGGAGGGATATAATCAAGGTCATATTTTGGCTCTCGTGGACTTGTTTTGATTTGTCTTCAACTTCAGCTTGAACTTGCATATGAGCAATTGATGGTCTGTTCCACAGTCAGCTCCTGGCCTTGTTTTGGCTGAAGATACTGAACTTCTCCATTGACTCTTGCCACAGCTGTAGTCATTCTGATGCCTGTGCATTCCATCTGGTGAGGTCCACATGTATAGTCATCACTTATGTTGTTGAAAAAAGGTATTTGTAATGAGTAAGTCATTGGTCTTGCAAAATTCTGTCATGTGATCTCCAGCATTATATCTATCTTCAAGGCTGTATTTTCCAACTCCCTCCCTGAGGGCAGTGTTGCTCTCTCAGTAAAACTTTGTCAGGTTTTCTGCTTCATTAAGGTCCCGGAACAAGCTATCCATGAGAGAGTTCTGGGGCTAACACAGAATTAGCCTCCACCCCGACTGGGAAGTTGACTGTGGGCTGTGGTCCCTGCTGGCCAGCCCAGGCTCTTCGTTCAGACCCAGCCTCCTTGCATGTGGCAAGGGGCAGTGGGGTCACCCCCCGAAGGCCGGGTGCCCCCACAGATCTGTGACTCTGGTTGTCCTTCATGGCCTTCCTCCCATGTCCTGGGATTAGGACCCCCCTCTGCAGTTGCTTGTGCTGACGGTTACTGTGGTGGTGTGGGGCAGAGTGGCTGTCCTGTGGTTTGGGACTGTCTGTAGACTGACCTGCTGTTGGTGGATGTGGTGTGCCAGGCGCCGAGCTCACAGGCGCGTCTCCGATGAAGGACCTTCCTGTGCTGAGTTCCTTGGCCTCAGGTGGAACAGAGACAGTGAGGCAGGAATAACGGGAATCGGAGATGGTTGGTAGGGCAGAAACAATGCCTGATGGGAAGAAAACCACCAGAGGAAGCAGCTGGTGTGGGAGCGACAGCCCGGTGCGTGCACTGCCCGTGGTCAGCGTGTCTTCATGCAGAGCTGTGCTGACACGTCTGTTTTGCAGCTCAGGATGACAGCGAGGCCAGCAGTGTGGAGTCCGTGGAGGGGTCTGCAGCTGAGGAGGAGGCCCTGACGCCGGGGGATCCCGCCATAGGTAAGTGCAGCGCCCCAGCTGGGAGGCAGGGAGGGAAGCCGCCCTTGGCCAGCCATGTCTCTCAGGGTTAGGCTCCGCCCCTCCTTCCCAGGTCACTGGCCTGTTGGGCTGTGTCTTGGAGAGTGGCCTGTACGTTTCACACCATGTCGGACCTGAAAACCTCGTGGATGAAATCTCCTCCTAACTGTCCCAGACGATTTCTCAGGCTTTATCGGAGTCGATTTTGATACTCTCTCCCAAACCCCAATTGTTAAACTCACTGCAGGAGGATGGGCTGTGCTAGGGTTTACAGGCAGACGCGTGGGCACCCTGCCTTGTAGCATCGAACCTTGCCAGGCTTCACGGGGGTGATGAGACTGAGCAGAAGCCCAAGGCTGGTGCCCGTGGGCAGCGGTCAGACCTGCATCCTCCCTCCAGACTCTTGACCAACCTGACACCAGCCGTCTCTCCCATCACTCCCTTTCCTTCTCTGCTGGGTCCATAATCGGTTACAGTGGACACAGAACTCAGACCGTATTTACAGTTAAGTGGTTTATTAAGGAAGTAACAGGGTTTCCACTTGGGGTCAGGGTCAGGATCAGGAAGCTTGTAGGCAAAGTCTGGAAGGTTCCCCCAGAGGGGGAGCTGATCCCGCCCTTCATCAGTGCAGGACGGCTCCCTCAGCTTCTCTGGGCCATGCGGGCCAGGAGGCCTGTCTCTGCCATGCAGGCCTCCTCTGAGCCCCTCAGGAAAGGCCCCCTCAGGACAGGACAGGCTCCTTCCGCTCTGCCTTCGGCCTTCCTGCTGTCGGCCTCTGCACGGCTGACTGGCCTGGCTCACAGCCAGTGTGGTCCATTCAGCTCTCTCACGTTCCTGGCAGCAGGTTTCTGCCACGGCTGCCGCTGCTGCAGGGCCCCTTGCAGGCCTGTCGCCGTCTCAGTGTCACAGCCCTGGACCTCGCCTCCTCCCTCTGTTTCTTCTCTTGCCTCTTCCTGCTGCTGCTTCCCTTCCATCGGCCTCCTAGTCGGTCTCAAGGAACGACCCTCCCACCAGGGCCATGAACTGACCAGTCCTCAGGCCGTGGACGCTTCGTTTGCATCATAGACTGCAGGCACCTTGTCTGCATAAGTGTTCGGCCAGTTCTCGAGGGTGTACCCAGTCATAGGGTGGGCTACAGCCCACATAATAGACTGTAGACACCTCATCTGCATAAGTGGTCGGCCAGTTCTCGCAGGGTGTACCCCAGTCAGGGCGGGCTGCAGCCAACAGCCAGGCAAAAAGTGTCAAAGCCAAGTTGTTTACAGCTCACCCAGGAACTGTCAGTTAACCTGGACAGAGGTAACAGACCCTGTGGGGTCGCACACTAGGGCAGAGGTCCCTTCTCGGAGCTCAGGGGAGAATCTTCTGAGGGTTTTTCCAGAGAACCAAGGCAGAAGGCCACAAAGGACCTCATCTCACCACAGTGCCCCAAGCTGCAAAGCCAGAGGGACACCCCATAGCATGCTAGCATGCAGGGACCCTGGGGACATCCACAGCACACAGGCACGCCAGGGACGTTCCACAGCACACGCGCACCCCAGGGACGTCCCGTGGTACAGGCCCCCCAAAGGCTTCAGGTCGTGCTCCATAACCCAGAGCCATGCTGGCTCTGCCAGGCCAGCCGCAGTGACTGTTAGCCTCCTTGTCACAGCTGAGTCTGATGGGGACCAAAGTGTCTGCCAGCACCACACCACCATGTCACCTTGGTTCACTGTAAACCATCTCAGGGCAGCCGGTTGCTCCCCTGCCCCAGAGCCGCCAGCAAAGTTTGCAGGTGTGTGTGCAGGTGTCCTCAGGGTGTGCAGACGCAGGTGCGTGTGCGGGTGTCCTCAGGGTGTGCGGACGCAGGTGCGTGTGCGGGTGTCCTCAGGCTGTGCGGACGCAGGTGCGTGTGCGGGTGTCCTCAGGCTGTGCGGACGCAGGTGCGTGT